GAAATTGAAGAAGGAAGCCCCTGCCCTTCCGAAAACTGAAGCCAAAGCAAAGGCATTAAAGGCCAAGAAGGCAGTCCTGAAGGGCATCCACAGCCAAAAAAAAAAAAAGAAGATCCACCTTCCGGCGGCCTTAGATGCTGAGACTCTGACGGCAGCCCAAATACCCCCGGCAGAGCGCCCCCAGGAGAAACAAGCTTGACCACTATGCCATCATCAAATTTCCCCTGAGCACTGAGTCAGCCATGAAGAAGATAGAAGATAACAACACACTTGTGTTCATTGTGGATGTCAAGGCCAACAAGCACCAAATCAAACAAGCTGTAAAGAAGCTCTATGACAGTGATGTGGCCAAGGTCAACACTTTGATTAGGCCTGATGGAGAGAAGAAGTCCTATGTTCAACTTGCTCCTGGCTATGATGCTTTGGATGTTGCCAACAAAATTGGGATCATCTAAACTGAGTCCAGCTGTCTATTCTATGTATAAATTTTTCTCACCAGAAAAAAAAGTCACTTTTTAAATTTTATATTGGTTTAACTGCAAAATTCATATATGTTGTGTTTCATTCATAAAGGTGTTTTTCACACATTCCTTCATTTATATTGTATTTTATATGATCATTTCCATACATTGCATTTTATAAAACCAGTCACCATTGTTATATGTCCTTTGTCTGTTCAGGTTCCCCTCCTGATCAGTCCTAATTCTGTCATCCCTTCTTCTTCCAACAAAAATCTGTGACCTCATTTACCCCTCAGTTAACCCCAGGCCCCCTTTCCCCTTTGGACTTTTAGACACATCTCACTAGTTATCCTTCTATTTTTACATTCATGGTCTTAAGCAGTACTTGTCCCTATGAAGAGTGTCACTTTAAAGACTAAGGTGTTCCTGATCCAAGGCAGCATGTTTTATGTAATTCATATCCATATGAAAATTGGGCAGCAGATAAGGAATGCCAAAAAATAGTTGTTCAACTATGAGATATCATCTCACCCCAGTAAGAATAGCAAAGTTCAACTGAGCATCAAACAAATGCTGGCGAGGCTCTGGAGAAACTGAAACCCTTATTCACTGTTGGTGGGAGTGTCAAATGGTGCAACCACTCAGAAAGGCAGTATGGTACTTTCTCAAAAAGTTGGAAATAGAAACACCACTTGACCTAGTAATTCCACTACTGGGAATATACCCTAAAGAAACCAGAGCTGCCACCCAAACAGTTATATGCACACCAGTGTTTATTGTGGTTTTATTTACAATAACAAAGTGATGGAAACAACCCAAGTGCCCATCAACAAATGAGTGGATAGAGAAGCTGTGGTGTATTTAAACAATGGAATTCTACTCAGTGCTGAAAAACAAAGAACTTATAAAATATACAAAATGTCCTTGAAGGACATTATGCTCAGTGAAATACCTCAGTCACAAGAGGACAAATATAGCATAATGCTGCAATTGTAGACTGGGGCTGACATGGTGATTGGAGGGGATACTGAGAAAAGACGGCTTCAATATTGAACATCGCATTAAAATATATGCACGAAAAAACTGTTTAAAAGGAATATATGATTGAACAATCCAGAATAAGAGATAGATAGTAAAGCAGACTGAGGGAGGTGGGAGAGAGGAAATTGTGCACAATGAATGATTTTTTTAAGAGAAAAGCAAACTGGGAGGTGGAAGGGAGAAACATGTGTAACAATGAATGAATGGAAATCCACATTTTCTGTAAATTTTTGTTAAAATCTTAATAAAAATTATTTATAAAATACAAAAAATGAATTGTTGTCTTTGAATTATATTTTTAATATCCCGAGGACTACCCTAGGCACATAGTCTGTCTTGGAAAATGTGCAGTCAGGGACCAACTAGAAGAAAGGGTGTATAAACTTCATCTCATTCACTGGACATGTTATCAGGAGGGTCCAGAGTCAGGAGTAAGACATCATACTTGGAAATAAAGAGGGACCAAAAAAGATGGGAAGATCTTCGGTGAGACTAATTGACACAGTGACTGTCATAATCAACTTAAGGACAGCTGAGTTTATGAGGATGGCAGTGTTAGGTGGAGTTCCATTTAGTTGTACCTGGGGTCTCTATGTATTGGAACTGAGTCCAGGACACCTTCAATAGCAAGGTAACCCTAAAATTCCACTGTGTCTTTGTCCACTTCCAAAAGCATGGTTTATAGAAACTATTGAATTCTTTTGGTGATTTTCTATGAAATGACCATTTTAAAAAAAAACAAAAACTATTGTTGTACTTTTTCTCCCCCCTCACTCTTTTCTGCTCTCCCAGCCCACCTCGCAATGCACCCATGTTCCAGATTTTTCTTATGCATATAATTCTTGATCATATATTTGTTTTGGACAGTTCTTCCCCTCAACTGTTCTAATGCATTATTCAATATCTATCCACTCTTTCCTCAATCCCTCCCTAACTACCTTTTTGTCTACCCTGTTTTATAACAATGGTTTTATGCTGTATTTATCCCTTTGTGACTGAGCTATGTCACTTAGCATATATGCATGTTCTAGCTGAAGCTAAAGAAGGAACCAAAATTTGACCTCGAGTCTATCCCACTTGAATTTCAAAACCATCTCAGGAATAAATTTGAGACCTTTAACACTAATGAAGGAAGACCAGATGACCTCTGGGAAGATATGAAAAATACCATCCGTAAAGAATGGGAAAGGTCCTTAAAAAGAGGAAGAAGAAAAGACCAAGATGGATGTCAGATGAGACTCTTAATATTATACTTGAGTGCCAAGAAGTCAAAGCAAAGAGAAGAAATCAATAAATTAAGGAGCTGAACAGAAGACTTAAAAGGTCATTTCAGGAAGACAAACCAGTGTATGACGAAATGTGCAAAAAGCTGGAGTCAGAAAATCAAAAGGGCTGAATTCATTCAGCATTTCATAAGCTCAAGGAAGTAAAGAACAAATTCAAGGCTCGAGTTGCAATATTTAAGGATGCTCTGAGCAGAATATGAAACGATCCATGAAATATTAAACAATATGCAAAGTATATAGAGTCACTGTACTAAAAAGAATTGGCTGACACAGAAGAATTTCATGAAACAACGTATGAGCAAGAGCCTGTGGTGATGAAAGAAGTTCAAGCTGCTCTGAAAAAACTGGCAAAAAAACAAGGCCCCAGGAATTGTTGGCATACCAACTGAGATATTTCAGCAAATAAATGCTGCCCTGGATGTGCTGAGCACATTGTACCAAGAAAGCTGGCCAACTGAGTGGAAGAGATTTATATTTGTTCACATTCCAAAAAAAGGAGATCTTACAGAGTGCAGAGATCAGTGACATCCTTAATATACTTGCCAGCAAGATTCTGCTGAAAGTTATCTAGAGTACCCGGTGGGAAACTGAATTAAGGTGGTGCTGTAGATGTCAGAAGTCATGAAATTATAAAGGAAATCAGGCATTTGGGCCAACATTGACTTCCGACTTCTTACAACTTGTCTGCTACTGATGTTAGCAGAACTAACTGAATATATCAACAGAGTCAGGTGCTTTTGCATCATCAAATAGACATTCTTCTGGAATTTTCTGCTTTTAGTCAGGATCCATGTGACATCAGTGAGGATAACTGTTTTGTCATGGCCTTTTCTAAACCCGGGTTCAAATTCTGATAGTTCTTTATGTTGAACTATGTCAGTTGGTATCCCATTGATTTCTGGGGCCTTATGTTTTAGTGAAGGCTGAACATCTTCCCTCATTACCAATGGTACCTTCAGTACCATGCCTCTTCATCTTATGGTACTTATCAGCCAGTCAACTTTGGCTAACTTTGAGATAAGACCCTCCAGTATTTTGGTAGTTATCTTGTGGTTGATTTCTCTCCTGATTGGCTGCCTCTAGGGCCTGCTTCTGGAATTGATCCAAGTCAGGCTTGAGATGGAGGCCAGGCACAAAATGGAGTCTGTACAGTTCTCTCATTCACCCGTTGAGATTTGTATAAGTCCTTATTTATAAGACAAACATCTGGGTTGATTCCTGGAAGAGTTATTTGTGGGTTTCCCATTTGGGAATAGGGGTGCAGACGCTGGCTACTTCATGCTGAATTGGGCATTGAGGTGGAGGGGAAGGGAAGCCTACTTTAACTCTCTATTGGTAGTCTTTAGTTCAAGCTGCATGCCTTCCTGTTAAGTTAGAAAATATTTTCACCAACATGGCCCTCAATGGAGGCCGCTGGGAATTTCATTGCACCTTTTGGGAAAGAGTATTTTGTTCTCTTTCAACCTTGTGTTTATCTACAAGCAACATGGAGATTTACTTGTGACACAAGTGTTCTTGTTGATCTTTACTTTCCGTCTCTAAGTGGACAAAGGTAATACAGAAGTGTTGGGTGCAGAAGTTGTCTGTATTTGAAAGCCAGTAGTGAAAATGTATCATGAGGTGGATGGCACTTTTCTGCGTGGTGTGAACATTTGAAGACCAACCAAAAATGTTATAAAGTAGACATGATGATAGTACCAGTTTAGATGTGGTGTTGGTCATTTGATCTGTGACCAGAAGCTTACATTATTTACAAATAAAGACTGAATGCATCTTTTGAGCCCCTAGATTGTGTAAATATTTAAAGTTCACTGCTGTTGACTTATAGGTGGGAAATGGAATGTTCTCAGTAATGTCCTGAGGAAAAGACCCAGGGATTACCTCTGAATAACCAACCAGCCGTGGACAGCACTGGGAAGGAAGCACAACTCCACCCTGAGAAACGTGGGTCCACATGATTTGGAGCCATCTCAGTATCAGCTGCTTTTCTTTTTCAATCCACTGGGCAGTTGCAGAGATTATATTTGATTCCAAGGTTTCTCAGCAGTGCATGTGAATTTGTTTCTAAAATCATGTTGTTCTCTGTGCATCACTGGAACTCCTTCCTTCCCCAGTGTCCCTGCAGGAGGCTGTGTGAAAATCTAGTTCTCCCCAGAGCACCATTACATCTCAAAGGACTTTGCTGATGTGAAAGAACTTGACAAGCCCAGTGATGGCTAAGGAAGAGGATCTCCAACTCCCTGGAGCAGCTACTGGCCCTCAAGGGGAAGTCTCCAGCCCCAAAGCTGCCCAACAGCTTTTCAGATGCTTTCAGTACCAGGTGTTTTCTGGGCCCCAGGAGACCCTGAATCAACTTCGCAAGCTCTGTTTTCAGTGGCTGCAGCCAGAGGTTCACAGCAAAGAGCAGATCCTGGAGCTCCTCATGTTGGAGCAGTTCCTGAGCATCCTGCCTGGAGAGATCCAGATGTGGGTGTGCACACAGTGTCCCCACAGTGGAGAGGAGGCCGTGACGCTAGTGGAGAGCTTGAAGGGCGAACCCCACAGACTGTGGCAGTGGGTAAGCAGAGGGTATTGGGATCTAGGGTCCTGTTGGGGTATCTACCTGCCTCATCTATGGCTCTGTGTGCCTGTCAGGTCCCTGATTGTTACAAATGATAGTATTTGACTACTACCCAGGGTTGGTGCTATGAACTCACAAGTGACACCATTAAAAGAAAGGTCTTCTCTTGTACTTCCCATAAAGATTATTGCTATGAAAACCCTAAAGAGCTCCTCTGTTCGTGGTATATTGCTGTGAGTTGCAATGAACCGTTCCACAGCTGATTTGTTTTCTTTACCTTTGTGTGTTACTGACTTTCCACAGTCTAGGTGTTAGGAATTAAAAGTACAAGGTGTGGTTCCATTCTAACTTAACCTCCAATGTTTCCATTTGGTTAAGTTAGGATTTTTCTTTTCTAATTGAGATTTTAATGAAAGTTTATAGAGACTGTGGATTTCCATTCATTCATTGTTGCACATTTTCCTCCTGCCCACCCCCGTTTGCTTTTCCCTACGGGAAAAAAAATTCTTTCATTATTGTACAATTCCCCACCCTTGTGTGCACTTTACTATCCAGCTCTTATTCTGGACTCTTATTTTACAGGTAATATGTAATCATATACTCCTCCTAAGCAGTTCTTATACTCATCTGTTTTACCACATCATGCAGCGTACATTATTTATCCCTTCTTTTCTTTTTTTTTTTTTTTTTTTTCAGAGCGCACGGGAGGTTTATTCGCCCACTGCTGCTCCAGGACAGGTCAGCTCGGAGGAACTTCACTTCAGTATGGTATCGTCCTGGGCTTCTGCCAGTTCTCTGGTGATGCGCTTCAGTTCATCCTGCTTCTTCTTCTCCTCGGCCGCTATCCTCCTTTCCTCTTCCGCCCGCGGCTTCAGGTAACTGTAGTGCTTGGCTCCGTAGGCCATGCCGAGGATGAGCAAGGAGTAGCGGGTGAGCTTGATGAGCGGAGAGACCGGCACCGGGGGCACCATCTTGTCCCTGACCTTCGTTATCCCTTCTTTTCTTAGTTTCCCCCAAACCCGGGTGTCAATTCTGTTTTACAACAGAGGCATTATGCAGTATTTGGTCTTTTGTGACTGAGACCTTTCTCTCAGCTTAATGTCCTCCAGGTTCACCCATTTTGTATATTTCATGAGTTCCTTGTTTTTCTTTCTTTTTTTAATTTATTATTAAATTCAATGAAGATTTACGGAGACTTTGGGTTTACATTCATTCATTGTTGCTCTTTTCTCCCATCCCAGTCCTCCCCCCAATACACTACCTTCTTGGAAAAGTAAAAGAAAAATTCTTTCATTGTTTTACAAACCCTCCCCCAAGTCCACTCCACTATGCAGCCTTTGCTCAGGACGCCTGTCATGACAAAAATACCTAATCACCTATCCCTTTTAAACAGTTTTCTCCCTTATCTGTTTCAATGAAATATACATTATTGAACACATCTTTATCAGTCTCCCACAACCCCGATGTCAGTCCTGTTTTACAACAGTGGCACCATGCAATATTTGTCCTTTTGTGACTGAGATACTTCACTCAGTATAATGTCCTCCAGGGTCACCCATTTTGAATAATATTGCATGAGTTCCTTGTTTTTCAATGCAGCGTAGTATTCTGTTGTGTGAATATACCACAGCTTCTCTATCCATTCTTTTATTGATGGGCACTTAGGTTGTTTCCAACCCCTTGCTATTGTGAACAATGATGCAATAAACACGGGTGTGCATATATCTGGTTGGATGTCAGTTATGGTCTCTTTAGGGTATATTCCCAGTATTGGAATTGCTGGGTCAAATGGTATCTCTACTTGGAACTTTTTGAGAAAGCGCCATACCACCTTCCACAGTGATTGCACCAGAGTTCCTTGTTTTTCAATGCAGCATAGTATTCCATTGTGTTAATATACCACAGTTTCTCTTACTATTTGTTTGTTGATTGGCACTTAGGTTGTTACCATCTCTTTGCTATTGTCAACAACAATAATGCAATAATCATGGGTGTGCATATATGTGCTTGGGTGGCAGCTCTGGTTTCTTTAGGGTATATTCCTGGTAGTGAAATTGTTGGGTCAAATGGTGTTTCTATTTCCAGCTATATGAGAAAGCACCATATTGCCTTCCCGAATGGTTGCACCATTAAACACTCCCACCAACAGTGAATAAGAGTTTCAGTTTCTCCACAACCTCGCCAGCATTTGTTTTCTGCTCTGTTGAATTTTGCTGTTCTTACTGGGGTGAGATGATAGAATTGTTTTGATTTGCAAGTATCTTAAAGCTAGGTATTTTGAACATTTCTTCATGTGTTTTTATACCACCTGAATGTCTTCTTTGTTGAAGTCTGTTCATATCCATGTCCATTTTTCAATTAGGTTTTTTATCTTGTTGTGGTGGTTGAGTATTCTGTGAATTCTAGATATAAGTCCCTTATCAGACATGTCATTACCAAATGTTTTTTTTCAGTTATTGGTTTCACTTTTTGCCCTGTTCGAGAAGTTTTTTGATGTGCACAGGGATTTGATTCTTAGAAGGTCCCATTCATCTATTTTATAGTCTCCTGGTTGTAGGTTTACCAGTATGTTTGGAAAACTTCATTTTACCAATTAGGGTTTCTAGAGTTCTTCCAAGCTTTTCTCTAATGAAGTTTATAGTCCTTGGTTTTAGTCCTAGGTCCTTGATGCACTTTGAGGTGGTTTTTGCGTATGGTGTGAGGTGAGGGTTTTCATCAGATAATTTTCCAATTTTACCAACATGTTTCCTTAAAAGCCCATCATTTCCCCACTTAAATGATTTCATCTTCTTGTCAAAAATTAGTTGACCGTAGGTCAACCATAGGGCTGATTTCTGGCTTCTCAATTATATTCCATTGATCTTTGTGTCTGTCACTGTACCAGTACCACACTGTCTTGACCACCACAGCAGCGTAGTAGCTTTTGAAATCAGGGAGTGAAATGTCTCCTGCTTTGTTTCTCTTTTTAAGAAGTGCTTTGCCTATTCGGGGTCTCTTTCCATTCCAACTGAAATAGGATATTGCCTTGTCCATCTCGTTGAAGAAAGGAATTGGTATTTGTATTGGGATTGCATTGAATGTGTAGATTGCCTTTGGAAGAATTATCATTTTTACAATATTGAGTCTTCCTATCCAAGAACAAGATATAGTCTTCCCTTTCTCCAAGTCTCTTTTAGTTTCTTGTAGTAGTAATGTTTTGTAATTTTCTTTGTTTAGATCCTTTGTGTTTCTACCTAGCTTTATTTTATTTGGTTATGTTTTAATGAATACAGACTTTCCAGTTGAAACTCATTACAGACCTGTCTTGTAGGTCTTGGAGGCCTGGTTCTGTGTCAGCAGTTAGCCAGTCTGTCATATTTCCATCAATACCTGGAATATCTGCTGAGTAAAAACATGAAAGTGACTAGCTTTTCCTTGTTATCTGTTCCTAAGGACTGTTCTGTAATCTGGACTTCACAATGATTTCAGGAATCCTAACTCAGCATCCTGTAGTAACTTGTTTTTAGATCAGCAGTCAGGTTCTGGGACAGGAAAGCTCACCTGCGGAGGTGGAATCTACAAGCTACCAAGTGCCAGAGGCAGAGGCCAGTCTTGAGGTGATGTCTGAGGAGCTGGGACTTCATTATGCAAATTCAGGGCCTGACCAGCAACTGAACCACATCATCAAAGAGGAAGCAGACACTGAGCCGGAATTAGATGAGGGCCTGTTCTTATTCATGGTGGTGTTCGGGACTCCCAGCAAAAATTAGGTTCCTGGCTGTCTGAGTTGAAAGTGTATTCAGATTGTGGTGTCCCATGAAGGTTTTGGAACAAGGTTCATGTTCACAAGTCACTCTGATTAAGAAATTCTGTGTCTTCATTTGACCATTTGGATTTGGGAATTGATATAGTAGGGCAGAGAATATGTGGATGAAGGCCTTTGTCGTATTAAGAGTTATTTGGACTTTGTACAAATCTTAAAATTCTGAATGAGGAAAGGACCTTTTGTGAAAAAAACAATGTATTCAGACTTTGTAAATAAATCAGAGTAATATAAAAAATTATAAAAAATTCTCAATGGAAGTATCACTTCTAATTTGCCAATGTTTTTCTGATTTTTTTAAAAAAATTTTAAATCAGTGCCCGTTGTGGAATGACTGAAGAGAGCATCTAGATTCTCAAAACTTGCTGTTTCTCAGGGAGCTCTGGTGGCCTAGTGGCAAGAAGCTGCACTGCAATGCCAGAGGTATGCGGTTCGAATCCACCAGATGCTCTGCTGGAGAAGGAGGGGCAATCTCCTTCTGTACCAGTCAGATCTGATTTGACGGTACACACACACATACACATAATAAATAAAAATTAAAAGTTTAAAAAACAACAACAACAAAAAACTTTCTGTTTCTCACTTCAGTGATTACTGCTCCCCGTATCTTGCCCTACCGGAGGAAAGGCTCATCAGCGACCAGGACTCAGGAGGCTCACTTCTCCAAGCATCATCGCAGGTGAGCTGGATTTCTCTACTTTTTTGCCTCTGAACCATTTTTGAGCATTCAGGAGTAATTTTTTTTGGCATTATGTGCTGTCAAGTCACCTGTGACTCATAGCCCTGAACCCTGCCCTGTCTTGAGCCAGTCTCACTGACTCTGCAACACCTAATCCCATTGCCCCAGTTACCCTGTCATTCCATCTCATCCAGGGTCTTCCTCTCCTGTGCTGTCCCTTCACCCTTCTTCATGAACTGGTCCCTCCTGGCCACGTGCCCAAAGTATGTGAGACAGAAATTCAAAATTCTTGCCTCCAAGGAGAGAAACTTGGTTTCACCATCCCCAAGATAGACCTGTCTGCTTATGGCAGTCCATGGTATCTTTAGTACTCTTCTCCAGCACCACAACTCAAATGCCTCAATTCTGCATCCATCATCCTAGTCATTGTCCAGCTCTGTGATGCATAACAAGTAATTGCGAAGACCATGGCACGGACCTAAGTCTTTATAAATATAATAAGTCTGAAGAGAAGCATGAATTTCACAAGTCTTCTCAAGGCACAGTGTTTTTCTAATTGCCCTTTAGAATTAGGGAACCTAGGTCCTTAACAAAGGTAGAAAAAGACTTGTGATCAGATATCAGACAAAAGAAGAAGGAAGTGAGTTAGAGCAGAACAATTTTACTAACTCCAAGAACAAAAAGCCAGGAGTGGAGAGCATGCTTTAGATCTGGGTCCTGTGCTGAGACCCTCACAGGCCTAGGGCAACGAGTCACTGAGACACTGGTACATCACCAAGGAATGCCAGGCTCACATATTGAAGGACTTTTCTCCAGAGCAGACAGTATGAAACCTTCCTGTGGAGCTACTGCCCTGAATTTGGACTCCTGGCCATTTAAACTGGGAGAGAATAAAGTTCAGTTCTTAATGTCATCCAGTGGTCTTTCCTCTTACTGTTAGACGCATGTCCATCATCCCCATGTGTCCTCTTATGTATTTACACTCCCTCTCTCTTCCCTTTTGCTGCCCTTTCCCTTCCCATTTTGGGCAGCTGCTGATCTGATTTCTGTCATCATAGATTTACTTGTGTTTTCTGGGATTTTATATAAAATGGAATCAAACCATATTTTCTCTTTGTTCTGCACCTGAGGTGTTTTCCTTCCTTTCTTCTATTTTCTCACTTTCCTTCTGATTTTAAAAGATTGATTGTAGTGTACGTGAAAGTCATCTTGTTTATGTATCTTGTGACTGAAGTTCTTTTAGCCTGGTTGTGAGATTATGGTTCTCAAATGATTTGGACAATTTTTTGGCCTTTATTTCTTAAATCTTTCTATTTCCTTCCCTTTGTCTAATTATAGAATTTCTATGATATGTAATGGGCTCAATAGATAACAACAGTAACTTGATGAAGACTTTGAAGTAATAGTACAATGTTTCTTCAAGTAGATGATGCATCATGTATCAGGGATCTGTAAACATGATGTTGATGTCCCCACATTCTTGATGAGAATTTAGGCGAGCACTAAGTCTCAGAAAGTATTAACAACTTCCTGAAGGTCGTAGAACCAGAAGATAGTAGGACTTCCTCTTTTGAGTCTCTAGTTCTGCACAGCAAAAACCTCAAACTCATTCTTGTCGAGTCAGAGCTGATTCATCGCTAATTCCTCAGCAGGTTTGTGGAATATATAAATCACGTGAACTGGGGGTCTGGGGCAAGGAGTTTGCCAGCATTTGGGTGTGCCGGGCTGGTAAGACATTGAAAGGTGACGCTCTGCCTAGGGCCTTGGGGTATTTAATGCCAGTTGAATTCAGACTCTGCCTTCTTGAGGGGCGGTAGGTTTTGGGTTCTGCGCACACATGGTGGTTTTTTGGCCCCACTAGGGCGTGGACAGAGCGGACTTGTCAGATGAACTGGGAGTCTGGGGCAAGGAGATTGCCAGCATTTGGGTGTGCCAGGCAGGTAAGACACTGTAGGGCCCTTGGGCCTGCGACCCTCGGGCCACCCTTTCACTGTTTTTGTTCAGACATTCCTCTAGGTTGTATAGCCCTGCTGTACAAGTTGCCATACAGCAGTCACTTGTGCTTGCCGTGAGCCTGAACACTGTGACACTGATGTGTCAAATGCGTTACTGGTTGGCTACCCAATGCAGACAGAGAGTGGGGTGGAGCTCCCCGATTAAAACAAGCTTGGAAGGAGGAGTGGCATCCACTTCCATAATAGCTTGCCTCCAGAAACCCTATGAACCTGGAGAGAGGATGAATGGCACCCAAGCATCGAGGACTCTCCTTCATAGGGTCACTATGAATCACCTGTGACTCGACGGCAACATAAATCACATGAGAGGAGACTCCCCAACTTTGTCCTGTGGAGCCGACTATGGATTTTGAAGCACTACAGAGCCAACACCTCTGTCTTGGCTGATCAGTTCCATATAGAGTGGGCCATTATGAGCTCCCTCTACTTCTATGTATTGTCATGAACTGTGCAGTTGGAATTGACTCATAGTTGACCCTCCCTCCAGTGGGTTTTCAGAATCAGTAAATCGAATGGGAAGAGATTCCACACCTTTCTTTTATAGAACAGCTAGTAGATTTGAACTGGTGACTTTTGACAGTACAGTTCCACACCAGTAAGCCACCAGAGAATTTTCCTTATGAGGCTACTTTATTCATGACAACTCATCCATTGAACTCTAAACTAAAAAATCTTAAGGGATTACAGGGTGTGGTGCCTGTTGTCTGAAGAGACCAGTCTTGTCTTTGGATGGGGCTGAAATACCATTAACTTCAGTGTTGTTGATTCCCTCTGTTTTGCAAATTGGCACTGGCCAAAATTTGCTTTTTACCTTGGAATTCTAGATTGCATTTCAATATTGGGAATGTCAGACTCTTACACGTAAGTGATTTGGAGAGTGAATAAAGAATGTGGGAGACGGAAAAACATATATCCAGTGTGTTTTCCAGTCAACAAATACAACCTAAAACATAAATGTAGACCTACAGCCAGAAGAGTATAACATAGATGAATGGCACCTTCTAAGAATCAAATTTCTGTGCACATCAAATAACTTCTCCAGCAGATGCTCTGCAGGAGAAGGAAGAACAGTCTCCTCTTGTACCAGTCAGTTCAAATTTGACAGTACACACAAAAAAACCCAATAAAATAAAATTTAAAAACAACAACAACAAAAAAAAAAAACAACAAAACTTCTCCAACAGGGTAAAAAAGGAAAGCCATAAGTCTCTGGGAAAAAAATATTTGGTAATGACATGTCTGATAAGGGATTATACCTAGAATTTATAGAATACTCGAGCACCACAACAAGATAAAGGTAAACAACCCAATTGAAAAATTGACACAGGATAAGAACAGACACTTCAAAGAAGACATTCACGTGGTGAAAAAACACATGAAAAAAATAAGAAACAAGCAGATCAAAACAACTATGAGGTATCATCTCACCCAAGTAAGAATAGCAAAATTCAACAGAGCAGATAATAACAAATGCTAGCGAGGTTGTGGAGAACATCTCACCCAAGTAAGAATAGCAAAATTCAACAGAGCAGATAATAACAAATGCTAGCGAGGTTGTGGAGAACCTGGAACCCTTATTCACTGTTGGTGGAAGTGTAAAATGGTGCAATCACTACAGAAGACAGTATGGCTCTTTCTCCAATAGCTGGAAATAGAAATACCATTTGAACCACCGGTTCCACTACTGGGAATATACCCTAAAGAAACCAGAACTGCTACCCAAGCTGATATATGCACACCTATGTTTATAGCTGTGTTGCTCATAATAGCAAATAGATGGTAACAACCCAAGTGCCCATCAACAAAAGAATGGATAGAGAAGCTGTGGTATATTCAATCAATAGAATACTATTTAGCACTCAAAAACAAGGAACTCATAAAATATTATACAAAATGGGTGACCCTGGAGGACATTATACTGAGTTAAATATCTCAGTCAAATAAGGAGAAATACTGCATAATGCCTATATGACAAATAATCCAGAATAAGAGCTGCATAGTAAAGTGGACTGGGGAGGGGGAAATTATAACAACAGTGAAAGACATTTTTTTCCAAAAAGAAAAGAAAACTGGGGGAGGCAGGAAGGACAATGTGCAACAATGAATGAATGGAATTCTAAGTTCTCTATAAACTTTCATTAAAATGTCAATAATTATCAAAACAACTATGAGATATCATCTCACCCCAGTCAGAAGAACAAAATTTAACGGAACAGCAAGCCACAAATGCTGGCGAGGTTGTGGAGAAACTGGAATCCTTATTCACTGTTGGTGGGAGTGTAAAATGGTGCTCAACCACTGTGGAAGGTGCTTTCTCAGAAAGTTGTAAATAGAGATACCATTTGACCTAGCAATTCCACTACTGGGAATAAAGAGACCATAGCTGACATCCAAGCAGATATATGCACACCCATGCTTATCGCGGCTTTGTTCACAATAGCAAGAAGTTGGAAACAACCCAGATGCCCATCAGCAAACAAATGGATAGAGCAGCTGTGGTATATTCACACAATGGAATACTACGCTACATTGAAAAACAAGAAACTCATGCAATATTATTCAGAATGGGGGACCTTGGAGGACATTATGCTGAGTGAAATATCTCAGTCACAAAAGGACAAATACTGCATGGTGCCACTGTTATAAAACAGGACTGACATCAGGGTATGGGGGACACTGAGAAAGATGGGTATACTACATTGAAACAGATGAGGGAGAAAACTGTTTAAGAGGGATAATGTCATTAGGTATTTTTGTCAAGACAGGAGTCCAGAGCGAAGGCTGTATAGTGGAGTGGACCTGGG